AGAGTACATCATGAGAAATGCTGGGCTGGATGAAGCACAAGCTGGAATCAAGATTTCCAGGAGAAATATCAATAACCTCAGATATGCAGATGACACCACCCTTATGGCAGAAAGTGAAGAAGAACTAAAGAGCCTCTTTATGAAAGTGTAAAAGGAGAGTGAAAAAGTTGGCCTAAGGCTCAACATTCAGAAAACTAAGATGGCATCCGGTCCCATCACTTCATAGCAAATAGATGGGGAAACAGTGGAAACAGTGGCTGACTTCATTTTCTTGGGCTCCAAAATCACTGCAGATGGTGATTGCAGCTGTAAAATTAAAAGATGCTTACTCCTTGGAAGGAAAGTTGTGACCAACCAAGACAGCATATTAAAAAGCAGAGACATTACTTTGTCAACAAAGGTCTGTCTAGTCAAGGCTATGGTTTTTCCAGTGGTCATGTATGGATGTGAGAGTTGGACTATAAAGAAAGCTGAGCGCCGAAGAATTGATGCTTTTGAACTGTGGTGTTGAAGAAGACTCTTGAGAGTCCCTTGGACTGCAAGGAGATCCAACCGGTCCATCCTATAGGAAATCAGTCCCGAATATTCATTGGAAGGACTGATGTTGAAGCTGAAACTCCAACACTTTGGTCACCTGATACGAAGAGCTGACTCATTTGAAAAGACCCTGATGCTGGGAAAGATTGAGGGCAGGAGGAGAAGGGGAGGACAGAGGATGAGACGGTTGGATGGCGTCACTGACTCAATGGACATGGGTTTGGGTGGACTCCGGGAGTTGGTGATGGATAGGGAGGCGTGGCATGCTGCGATTTATGGGGTCGCAAGGAGTCAGACACGACTGAGCGACTGAAGTGTAACTGTAACTGTAAATAGGTCTTACTTTACCAATCAGTCATGGTTGCAAGTACATTTGTTAAGTACACATTCATATGTAATGCTTGCAGCTGCCCTGTGAGGTTGGTACAGTTACTTCTGAGGAAATTCAGGCATGGAGGGTGAAGTAGCCCAAGGTGATGCCATTAGTAAAAAGTGGAACTGAGATTGAATCCGGGGAATCTGGCTCCAGAGTCCATGCTTATGACCCTTGTACGTGACTTTGTGGTATGTCTCTGCTTCATCTTGTTTTGCTTTGAATGAGATTTAATAAAATCTGCTTTGAATGAAATTTAATAAAAATGAACGTTTAAGGAAGCCTCTTTTCTTTCTTCATGTTTTAAAATAACAAAATATGAGTAATAAATGTTTAAAGTATGAAAGAACAATTCTTGTTACAATGATATATTTTTTTCACAGGAACTAATTATTGATAATAGTTCTATTAATATTTTATATAATGTTTATTGACCAGAAGAATCTAAATCCAACTGAAGTTACTCCTAAGAGTCTAAAATCTTTACAATTGCATAATGGCTTAAAAATTATTTAAAAAGCAAACCAGAATAACTTTTTTAGGTAGAATTATTATTTTTTTAATTCATTTTTATTAGTTGGAGGATAATTACTTTACAATATTGTAGTGGTTTTTGCATACATTGACATGAATCAGCCATGGATTTACATGTGTTCCCCGTTCTGATCCCCCATCCCATCCCATCCCTCTGGGTCTTCCCAGTGCACCAGCCCTGAGCCCTTGTCTCATGCATCCAACCTGGGCTGGCAATCTGTTTCACACTTGATAAAATACGTTGCTGTTCTCTCAGATCATCCCACTCTCGCCTTCTCCCACAGAGTCCAAAAATCTGTTCTGTATATCTGTGTCTCTTTTTCTGTCCTGCATATAGGGTTATCGTTACCATCTTTTAAAATTCCATGTATATGCATTAGTATACTGTATTGTTCTTTATCTTTCTGGCTTACGTCACTCTGTATAATGGGCTCCAGTTTCATCCACCTCATTAGAACTGATTCAAATGAATTCTTTTTAATGGCTGAGTAATATTCCATTGTCTATATGTACCATACCTTTCTTATCCATTTGTCTGCTGATGGGCATCTAGGTTGCTTCCATGTCCTGGCTATTATAAACAGTGCTGTGATGAACATTGGGGTATATGTGTCTCTTTCAGATCTGGTTTCCTCGGTATATATGCCCAGGAGTGGGATTGCTGTGTCATATGGCAGTTCTATTTCCAGTTTTTTAAGGAATCTCCACACTGTTCTCCATATTGGCTGTACTAGTTTGCATTCCCACCAACAGTGTAAGAGGGTTCCCTTTTCTCCACACCCTCTCCAGCATTTATTGCTTGTAGACTTTTGGATAGCAGCCATCCTGACTGGCGTGTAATGGTACCTCATTGTGGTTTTGATTTGCATTTCTCTGATAATGAGTGATGTTTAGCATCTTTTCATGTGTTTTTTAGCCATCTGTATGTCTTCTTTGGAGAAATGTCTGTTTAGTTCTTTGGCCCATTTTTTGATTGGGTCATTTATTTTTCTGGAGTTGAGCTGGAGGAGTTGCTTGTATATTTTTGAGATTAATCCTTTGTCTGTTGCTTTGTTTGCTATTATTCTCTCCCATTCTGAAGGCTGTCTTTTCACTTTGCTTATAGTTTCCTTTGTTGTGCAAAAGCTTTTAAGTTTCATTAGGTCCCATTTGTTTATTTGTGCTTTTATTTCCAATATTCTGGGAGGTGGGTCATAGAGGATCTTGCTGTGATTTATGTTGGAGAGTGTTTTGCCTATGTTCTCCTCTAAGAGTTTTATAGTTTCTGATCTTACATTTAGATCTTTAATCCATTTTGAGTTTATTGTTGTGTATGGTGTTAGAAAGTGTTCTAGTTTCATTCTTTTACAAGCAATCAGAGCAGAAAAAGAAATAAAAGGAATCCAGATAGGAAAAGAAGAAGTAAAACTCTCACTGTTTGCAGACGACATGATCTTCTACGTAGAAAACCCTAATAACTCTACCAGAAAATTACTAAAGCTAATCAATGAATATAGTAAAGTTGCAGGATATAAAATTAACACACAGAAATTCCTTGCATTCCTATACACTAACAATGAGAAAACAGAAAGAGAAATTAAGGAAACAATACCATTCACCATTGCAACAAAAAGAATAAAATACTTAGGAGTATATCTACCTAAAGAAACAAAAGACCTATACATAGAAAACTATAAAACACTGATGAAAGAAATCAAAGAGGACACAAACAGATGGAGAAATATACCGTGTTCATGGATTGGAAGAATCAATATGGTGAAAATGACTCTACTACCCAAAGCAATCTATAGATTCAATGCAATCCCTATCAAGCTACCAAGGGTATTTTTCACAGAACTAGAACAAATAATTTCACAATTTGTATGGAAATACAAAAAACCTCAAATAGCCAAAGCAATCTTGAGAAAGAAGAATGGAACTGGAGAAATCAACATGCCTGACTTCAGGCTATACTACAAAGCTACAGTCATCAAGACAGTATGGTACTGGCACAAAGACAGAAATATAGATCAATGGAACAAAATAGAAAGCCCAGAGATAAATCCACGTATCTATGGACACCTTATCTTTGACAAAGGAGGCAAGAATATACAATGGAAAAAAGACAACCTCTTTAACAAGTGGTGCTGGGAAAACTGGTCACCCACTTGGAAAAGAATGAAACTAGGTAGAATTTAATGAGAACATGTTCATGAATGATTCTCTTTTATCGAGTCATCTTTTGGATGCTGTATTTTAAGGAAAACCCAACCAGACTGAGAGAAGGGATTTAAAACTATGTTACTATGTAAGAAAAATCTGAAGGACCTGGGTATGCTCAGCCTGGAGAAGAAAGAACATTTTTAAATATATGAAAAGCTGTTGTTTAGAAGGATTCACTAAATAAGCTCATAGACACAGAGTAGAAAAGTGGTTGCCAGGGACTTGGCAGAGATCACAGAAATAGGTTAATAGGTAAAAGGGTTTAAAATTTTACCTCTAATATTAAGGACTGAGGATCAAATGTAAATCATGGTGGCTATAGCTCTGTTACTGAGAGAGTAGACCTTACATGTTCTCATGGAAAATAAATAAGTAGACATATATGGGGTTACAGGTGTATTAACTGGAGTCCTGAGAGGAGTCCTTTCACAGTATATTCATATATCAAATCATTATGATGTGTGCTTTCAGTATCTTACAAGTTTGTTAATTTTACCTCAGTAGACCCAGAAAGAAAAAAGGATTCGACTCCATGGGGTAGAGTTGGAGCAGTAGGTGGAAAGTTACAGAGTGACAGACTTGAGCACAGAAGTAGACAAATGTGAAATCGGCCGGCTTTACCAGGAGGATTTCTTTGTCAGAAGTTTTCCAGCAGGAGCTGGGTAAACTCTGGGAAAACTATGTTGGAAAGCATATTCAGTCATAGTTTGGTTGGACTAGAAGACTTTTCAGTTCCCTTTTTATAGTGCCTGGCGTATAATAGGCACCCAATAAATAACTGTCAAATTAATGACTTTTAAAAACATGGAGCAGGAGAAAGATTCTCTTTATTTTAAACCAATGTGACTCTTAAAGTGACTTATTTGATTCTGTCTTGATTATAAAGAAAGACTGAGAGGGAAGAATATTTAACTTTATTGAGATGTCAGTTTCTGATCCCTCTTACATACCATGAAAGCTCCTATAAATTGTGTTGAGTTCTCCAGGAAAAGGTAAGTAACTTCCACAGCTGTATGTAAATTATTAACTATATAAATTTAAAAGGCATATACTTTTGTATCTATGCATGTCTCATTAACTTGTAAACTCTTTCATATTAGGATTTGAATTTTTGAGTCTCCCTCACAGTATCTAACCCATAACCTCTTAAAAGTAATATTTGAAAGTGATTTCCAACTCTGTGTGTGTTGGGTATGGGAAGTTGTCCCTAATTCTCATTATTATTCAGAAATAAAGTCGTACCATTGATGTGTGCTAATGCTGATTTTTAAATTTAGAAATTACTGAATTCCAGTCGATTTTGAATCTTGTTGAATGTAGAAGGAGGTGTGTTCAATGTTTGTTGCTTTTGTAGGTGCATGTGAGGGAACCCTGGCTTGCTCTACTTGTCACCTCATCTTTGAACAGCACATATTTGAGAAATTGGAAGCAATCACTGATGAGGAGAATGACATGCTTGATCTGGCATATGGACTAACAGACAGGTAAGGTTTTCAGACCGTTTCTGTTGTAGGACTCATCTGGGAGGGTGAAAGTTTTGTTTGCTCATGTCTGTCTCTAACCAGAGACATGCAGTCTGCATGTGTCACAGTGTTCTCCCAGGGCAGACAGATGAGTTGCAAACTTTGAATGTCTAATATGTGACACTTCTCCGTGTATTCTACAGTTTAACCCTTATGAAACTTTCCTTTTAACAAAAGTAAAAAAAAGTTAATTGGAAGTATTAGAAGATAAGTTCTGGATCCTAATAAATATTCTTTCATGTTTTTATTCAAGGAATTAATATTTGTCACAGTTTAATGAGTTGGGATGAAATGTAATGCTTTTTTATGGTATTCTTAAAGGACAGATTTGATAATTGAAAGAAATTATAATGAAAAGTTTTACTTACTTGAGAGAATACAGTTTTTAGAAACTTAATATCTAATAGTTAACGTTACAATGAATAGTTCTAATTGTACATTGAAGAAGCTCAGATCTTATTCTTGTTATTAATAGAATTATTCTTAAAAGTGGTAAGATTTATAGTAGTAAGTGATATCAAGTGATACCTTTTTTTAAAAAATTATCTAGTCTTTTGGTTTGAGATAGGGAAGATACGGAGTTAATTTAATGTTTCAAAGGGCAAGATAATCAGAGTTTACTTCAGGTTGGCTTTGACTTTTAACTCGTTTGGTGGCCCTAATGAGGAAGAGTTTAAAACAATAAAAAAGTAATAATAAGCTTTATTTCATGTGTGTTATGTAACCACCATTTTGTTAGACCCTTGATGTAAACTCTGTAATCCTCACAGAAGTTGTTAGCTCATTGGCACTTTTTGTGGCTGCCGCCTCCCAGCCTCCCCTCACATCTCCAGGTGCCACAGCCTCTGTCAGCACCTCCTTTTCCGTTCTGAAGGATGACACACGGAACACACTCAGGGGTTGTGCTGATTTGGTTCTGAAAACTGTTTCTCTCAATGTGAGGGCTAAACTGTAGCTAACTGCTTGCTCTTTTATTCAGATAAAATTTATAGGTGCATGTAACATAATATTCTGAACGAAAAGAAAAAATGGGAGGAAAGGGAGAGCTACATTTAAGAGAGATACATGACTGTGAGAAGATATAAGACTTATTGCAAATGTAAGCTAGTCAAGAATTTTGATAGTAAAATTCAGAAGTTTTAGAACAAAATAATGGAAAGCAAGAAATAGCTTTTATGACATTTTATAGCTGGTATTTTTAAGTGCACAGAATTTTAGTAGAAATGCTCTGTGGGGAAAGAGTATAATGCTTTTAACAGGTAGGATTTAGAAAGCACTGATAAAATGGAATGAAAATAATTTTGTTCAAAAATGGTAGCTGCATGTAAACTTCTATTTCTAGGGTACTATATACTTCCAAAGATACAAGGAAACTCAGTCTTTAGATCTAGGTTTATTTTAAAATTAAGTTTGATGTAAGTGTCCTTAATTTTTGATTGAAGAGCATTTTAATGTTATTATAGAGTGTACTTAGCCTTGATTAATAATGGACTGATGATCCATTAATAGCAAGAATAAGTTCTGATTAATTTTTTTAATGTACAATTAAAACTATTCATTTTAACATTATTATTATATATTAAGTTTTTCTAAAAACTGTATTCTCTCAAGTAGGTAAAACTTTTCATTATAATTTCTTTCAATTATCATATCTGTCCTTCAAGAATACCATAAAAAGCATCAAATTTCATCTCAACTCATTAAATTGTGGCAAATATTAATTCCTTGAACAAAAACAGATGAAAGAGGATTTATTAGGATCTAGAACTTATCTTCTAATACTTCCAGTTAATTTTTTTTGCTTTCGTTGAAAGTGATGATCCAGTATTTCATCACTGTATCTCTAGTGCCTAACTCACAAAGGGCATCATCACCAGCTATTTTTGGAATTAATGGTTAATAGATTAAGGAATTATTTGTGAATCTATTTTTGATAGTTGTCATTGCTCCCTGCTACCAGTTCCATGGATAACCTACACAGAGGCCTCATTTTCATATTTGTAAAATGGGGATAGTAAAATAGTACCTACCTCCTAAGATTTTTGTGTCATGTCAACTAATACATGCATGTGCAGCTCCTTAAATAGTGTCTGGTGAAAAAAGTGTTCACTCAATGGTGGTTGTTGGCATTTTAATTATAATAATATTAATTCAAATGCCAGACATTTACTACAATGCCTACAATCTTAACAAAGATTGTTTCTAACCTTCAGAGTTTGCAGTATTATCACCACTTTATAGAACAGGGCTTAGTTTTCAGAGATTTGCTCAAGGCCACGTAGTTGGAGAATGACAGAGCCCCAGTTTGAATCAGTTACATTGGACCCCACAGCCCTTGGTTTCTTACAGTTTAAAGCTGCTTCTTTACTTTGAAAACCAAACTTTAGAAGTCAAGTGAACACACCTAGTATATTTCTGCTGTCAGGTGTATATGGCAAAGTGGCTGTAGAAAATGTCTTCAAGGTTTGCACAAGTGGGATATTTTGTGGGGTTAACAATGAAATCGAGGAAGACTTGCTGTCTGGCTCCTCCTCTAGAGGTTCTACACTGGTCCACCTTAGAGCTGGAGACCTTCCAGGAGGAAGCAGGGGAGTGAGAGCGGTCCCAGCACCACTGCCATATCCTCTCAGGTTACAGAACCAGGAGGGGTTCCCTGTGTTCTCCTATATACTTCTGGTTCTAATGTTACTGTGCTTACTTGATTCTGCCCAATATCACTGATTGCTTTTTCCATCCTCTTCCCCAAGCTCCTTGAAGACTAGCATTACTCTACTTAATTTTATATGAACACCAAGAGTATAACCAACAGTCTCTCTCGGGTCACCAGTCTTTGTCTTGTCTCATTTTCGCTTGGCTTGGCTTGGCTTGAAATTGGCTTGCCTCATTTTCTATCTTGTTGAGAGAGCTTAATGCATAATTGGAGATTGTCAGTTCAGTTCAGTTGCTCAGTCATGTCTGACTCTGCGAGCCCATGGACTGCAGCATGCCAGGCCTCCCTGTCCATCACCAAGTCCAGCAGTTTACTCCAACTCATGTCCATTGAGTCAGTGATGCCATCCAACCATCTCATCCCCTGCCTTCCTCTTCTCCTCCTGCCTTCAATCTTTCCCAGCATCAGGGTCTTTTCCAGTGAGTCAGCTCTTCGCGTCAGGTGGCCAAAGTGTTGGAGTTTCAGCTTCATCATCAGTCCTTCCAATGAATATTCAGGACTGATCTCCTTTAGGATGGACTGGTTGGATCTCCTTGCAGTCCAGGGGACTCTGAAGAGTCTTCTCCAATGCCACATTTCAAAAGCATCAATTCTTGGGTGCTCAGTTTTCTTTATAGCCCAGCTCTTACATCCATACATGACTACTGGAAAAACGGTAGCTTTGATTAGATGGACCTTTGTTGGCAAAGTAATGCCTCTGCTTTAATATGCTGTCTAGGCTGGTCATAACTTTCCTTCCAAAGAGCAAGCGTCTTAATTTCGTGGCTGTGGTCACGACATGCAGTGATTTTGGAGCCCAAGAAAACAAAGTCAATCATTGTTTCCACCGTTTCCCCATCTATTTGCCATGAAGTGATGGGACCAGATGCCATGATCTTAGTTTTCTGAATGTTGAGTTTTACGCCAACTTTTCCACCCTCCTCTTTCACTTTCATCAAGAGGCTCTTTAGTTCTTCTTCACTTTCTGCCATAAGGGTAATGTCATCTGCTTATCTGAGGTTATTGGTATTTCTCCCGGCAATCTTGATTCCAGCTTGTGCTTCATCCAGCCCAGTGTTTCTCATGATGTACTCTGCATATAACTTAAATAAGCAGGGTGATAATATACAGCCTTGATGTACTCCTTTTCCTGTTTGGAACCAGTCTGTTGTTCCATGTCCCAAACTGTTGCTTCCTGACCTGCCTACAGATTTCTCAAGAGGCAGGTAAGGTGGTCTGGTATTCCCATCTTTAATAATTTTCCAGAGTTTGTTGTGGTCCACACAATCAAAGACTTTGGCATAGTCAATAAAGGAGAAGTAGATATTTTTCTGGAACTCTCTTGCTTTTTCGATGATCCAATGGATGTTGGCAGTTTAATCTCTGGTTCCTCTGCCTTTTCTAAAACCAGCTTGAACATCTGGAAGTTAACGGTTCATGTACTGTTGAAGCCTGGCTTGGAGAATTTTGAGCATTACTTTACTAGCATGTGAAATGAGTGCAGTTGTGTCGTAGTTTGAGCATTCTTTGCTCAAGATTGTCAGGGCTGTTTCTAATTCAACAAATAGGAACTACTGGCAGAAAGGGATTTTTTCTATCAGCAGTCAATATTTTCCATGACTGTAGTTTTTCATTGTTGTTGAGTCACTATGTTGTGTCTGACTCTTTTTTGACCCCATGAACTAGAGCCAGTTTCTTTCTCCCGGAGATCTTCCCAACCCAGGGATCAAACCTGTGTCTCCTACTTTGGCAGGTGGGTTCTTTACTACTGGGCCAGCAGGGAAGCCCTTGACTGTAGTACTTACTCCCTTTCAGAAACCTCCCAGGGTCCCTCATGGCTCACTAGTGAAAACATGAACCACCCCTTCGTTGGTGTTCGGAGCTGTCCATGGCCTGACTACCTTTCCAGGCCATCACTCGTCCTGCCCTTGTCTGGCCTGTACAGCAGCCAAGTCAGAAGCCATGTTAACTCAATCATGACTTGAACCTCTGTTACCTTTGCCTCAAGTGCCTTTCTCCTTTATCTTTTGTTAAATATTAAAACCTACCCAGTCTTCAGAACCCATTAGAAACACCATCTCCCCAGCCAGAAGTCAGTGCTTTCTCCTCAGACCTTTCAGCTTTCTCTCTCATGGCATTTGTCACAGTCTCACACGTTAATTACCTGCAAATGTGTCTCAGCTCTTCTATCTGATTTAAAGTTCACGCCTTGATACTGATATTACCAACCAATCCTTACAGCAGTCCTGTGAGGAACCCACTTATTATCCATCCTTAGGATGACATTAGGAAACTAATATTTGTCAGGATTAAGAAAGTTGCCTGTGAACACGTCATATTCAATGCTGGATCTGGACCACTGGTCTGTTTGGTTCTAACCCGCATGCTGCCTCCTCATGGCGTCCCTGGTGCCTGGCCTGTAAGAGGTGTTCAGTAAGGATCGAGGTGAATTGCTCTTCTTTGCAAACCCAGTGACATTTAGTTCTGTCCCTTTAGGTGGTCAGCAAGTGCTTGATGAGTATGTTGACGAAACCAAGACCTGCATATCACATTCCATCAAATTTTTTGAAGGCAGTTGGAGTATGAGAAAAATACAGTATTTATTTTTATGTGCCATTAAGAAAGAAAAACTCTGCTAATTAAAATATGGTGTAAAATGATCTTATAACTTAACATTTTATGCTTATTGAAAGATCTGTTTATACTTATATTTAGAGCTACATAGACGTAGATTTGTACATCACTGTTGAAGATTCCTTTTTAAACATAAAATTGGTCATAATTCTGTGAAAAAAATGGAATTACAGTTATTCTTCCAGTGATAAATATTTACTTTTCTTTTATCAATTTACACTATTTCTGTATTTTTAATTTTTTTGTAGTCTTTTTTCTATAAATTATTTTTATTTGAAGGATAATTGCTTTACAGTATTGTTACTGGTTTTTGGCAAACATCAACATGAATCAGCCATAGTGTAATCTTTTTGGGCTGGAATTATTTTGAATGGTAATGAAATTCAATACATAGTATTAATATATTTCCCATAACTCAGTTGAAGGGATGGCTACCTCTGATGTGCCTATCACCTCCCAGTGTAGTTGTGACTGTGAGATAATTATTCTCTTGGCATTGCTAAAGCCTCAGTTCTCTTCTCCACTGTTGTGTCTTCTCATCGTTTCATTGCTTGTCATTCCTGTCACCAAAAAGTAGTAGTTCTGATGGAACAATTGGTAGAAGATAGAAGCTAGAGATTAAAATAAAACTTTGATGTCACACTTTTTGTTTTCATGTTTACATTCTGTTATCCTCTAGTTGAAAGGGTTGGATGTATCTTTTTTGACTTAGTGAAAACTTAAAAGGTAGATAAATCCCAATGTTCTGGGTAAGAAAAGATCCTGTTAACTGCATTGCCTTGTGAATAAGATAAACTTAATACTAAACTGGACCTTCCCCCTTTTTTATACAGATCGCGGTTGGGCTGTCAGATCTGTTTGACAAAGGCTATGGACAATATGACTGTTCGAGTACCTGATGCCGTGTCTGATGCCAGAGAGTCCATTGATATGGGCATGAACTCCTCAAAGATAGAATAAATAGGAATATTTTCACAACATTTTACCTATTTTTATAATTATTATTTCTTAATGTAATTAAATGAGAACATGGATGAATGGATTTATTATTATGACTAGATTTACTACTTAATTCATCTGATATAACTGCTGAATTTTGTAGTTCTGAAAGTATGCCATCTTTATTTTGATTAAATTATAAAAACAAATATTAGAAAGTAGTTAATATGATAAAACCTTATATATTTTACCTGTGTTTGTGATCAGCAACATAAATCTTATGCCTGCTTACCTATAGGTAAGTAGGTTAAAAAAAAGGGTGTCATTATCTCTCTTGGATGTGGGTGGAGGCAGAGATGTAAGATGGCTTGTCTAGGGTCATACTGCAAATTAGAAGGTCAGTACTAGAACTGTACATGTTTAGGTTGAAACTGGGGAAATTAGGGATATCTTATTTAAAGTCTGAGCACAGATAATAAAGCACTGTCAAAGATGTTTGGTCTCAATTCTGACTGAGCTGGAGGAGTAAACTAAAAATTAGATGTGTGTGTTGTTGTTGTTGTTGTTTTAATCCTGATCAGAATGGTCTGTCTTTGTAATCTTTAAAAAGTAATGCTGATGTATAAATCTCTCCTGTGACAGAATGGATATCTTATGGGTTAGGTTTTCTCTGTCCTAAGGAGGGAACGAGTGGGCTACCATCCCCTCGGCCAGGACAGAGCCGTGTGGTATGCAGCGAGCACGCAGGCAGGGTCCTGGGGGCGGGGGGCTTGAGCCCCTCAGATCATCCATGCAGGGCAGACATTTGTATCTTATCTTTACTGTGAATAAACTGATAAATGATAATAAAGGGGTGTGAAGTATGCTCTTGCAAGTATAATGAAATAGTAACTAGTTTGAATTAATGAGGAAGGGCAGAAAAAAATTAGTGCAAAGTGAATTGTAAAGTTGAGTTAGCTTCAAGTACATCTGTACACTTTGAGCATTAGAAGCCAGGTGCTAGAATCATCTGAAGGCTTGTGATTCCCTCATGTGACTGGCAAGTTGATGCTGGTGTCTGCTGGGGATCTAGCAGGGGCCACTGACTGAACATGTATGTACAGTCCCTCCGTGTGAGCTGGCTGTCCTTACCAATGGGGTGGTGGTTTCTGAGAGCCAGTGCCCTGAGAGGCATGTAAGCATTGCCAGGCAGAAGCTGAAAGTCGCGGGGTATTGCTTTTGCTTCTTGGTTTCCTTAGAAGTGAGACACCAGGTCTGACCCATCATTTGCATTGTGGGATGTCAGAGAATTTGCAGACAACATTTTTAAGTCATCACAGTAACATTACTTTCAGATTAATTTACTAGTACTTCATAGCCTGTGAAGATTAGCCTTTTAATTAACAGTGTTCTAAACTTTTAAAGAGGGACTAGGTTTTACTCTTGGATTGTGTTTCAAAAGATTCTTATGTCTCCTTTATTATGATAGTGCATTTGTTTTATTCTGACTCCTCACAGTTTTCTTCTCAATGGTTTAAATCCAGGAGAAGAAAGATAGGCTTCCTTGCAAAGCTGGGTAATTTTTAGTTTACATTTCTCTGTCACTTTGCCATCAAGATATGCATCTTCCTTTGGCACAGTACTCTGTATAATTGTTGGTTACATGCTAATACTTAATGTTGTATTTGGTTTTCACAGATAAAACCATCCTGTAATTATGGAAGTAATTCAGAACTGCTGAATTTGTTTTTTCAAGTGAACAATTCTAAGAATTTCCAAAACCTTTTGCTTAAGTTTCACTGTGAAAAATACTGTCAAACTTTTGTCTTAAAGGACAACTTTACTCCTTTTTAAATAACTGCTTAAGTATCACATGGTGATCAATGTGGTTTTTGTGGTCATTAAGCAATAGAACAGTTACATTTCACTTGGAACAATGTTTTCTGAGGTTAATTTAGATTCAGTATATGTTTTCACATTTTTTTCTTTTTCTTCCTTTTTACAGCTCTTATAATTGCTTTTCCTTTTTTTAAGCTACTTGAAATTTTGTGGTAAACCACATTTTGGGATCAGAATTTCTTTGATGACTTTCTTATTTGTAGCATAATATCACTATAAATAAAAAAAAAATTGTATGTGTATTCCTAAAAACAACCCTTGAAAATTTATTCTAAGTGTAAACCATTCATAGATATTCAGAAATTACATATAAACTTTGTTTCTTGTTGGAAAAGCTTTGAAGAACAGAAGCAAGATCTTTATGGAGCAGCAACAGGCTTCCTTTAACATGTCAGCACGTCACAACCTCAGGTTATTCTTATCAGAGTTTCTTCTGTTTCAAAGTTGCTAGAAGGTGAAAAATTAGACCGCCAGCTGGCAGGAGGAAGACATGATCACCACAGACAGAAATAAATATGGCTGTGACAACAGAAACAGGAAGTTAAAAGATAATTTAAATCTACCCGAAGCAACTTGAGAAGTTTATGGGAAAGGTCTTTACGGTGAGAGGTGTTACTTCTGCAGAAACTGTTAGTAATAAATCACCTAATCAATGCCCTATTCCTCTTCCCTTTTGAATCCCATTTGCTTATCTTATTATCTGGACGTCTTTGGTCATTTAATTTTTAGACTTGATTAGATAATAGCATTATAAAACTGAAGCCATTGTGCCTTTCTGGCTCCCCTTGTCCGTTTGTCTGCTGGTGGCTTCTGGAGTAAGGACTCCGTTGTGCTCAGCTTGGCCGGTTCTGATGGTTTAGCGCACAGTAGGTACACAGTGGGCCGCACTGGTGGCTCGGGTACAGAATCCGCCTGCAGTGCACGAGCTGCAGATTTGGTCCCTGGGTTGGGAAGATCCCCTGGAGAAGGAAATGGCAACCCTCTCTAGTATTTTTCTGTGGGAATTCCCATGCACAGAGGAGCCTGGCAGGCTACAGTCCATTGGGGTTGCAAAAGAGTCAGGTGTGACTCAGCGACTAAACCACAAGGTATACAATACATAAACCTGGTCTTACAAGGAATGTGCTTCTGACACTTTGCTCTTCAGCAGTCACCTGTTACTGGTGGGATTACATGAGCCCAGTATAGTCCTTATATTGCCTGCATCCTAACTCCAACTTAACAGGAGTCAGATACATAGGAGTATTTTCTTGAGAGGTCAGATAATCTCCATTATATTTAAAAGGATGGTATTCAACTTGTGATCTTTTTTTTTTAACTGAAGTATAGCTCATATACCATATTATGTAAGTTACAGGTGTACAGTGTAGTGATTCAGTTTTTAAAGCTTATGGTCATTTATAATTAAAATACTGGCTATATTCCCTGTGTTGTACAATATATCCTTGTAGCTTATATGTAACAGTTTTGTACTGTTTGACCCCCTAGCCTTATATTGTCCCCCTCCTTCCCTCCACTGGTAACCACTAGTTTGTTTTTTTATATCTGTGAATGTTTCTTTTTTGTTATGTTCACTAGTTTGTTGTGTTTTTTAGGTTCCACATATAAATAATATCATACAGTGTTTAACTTATTTCATTTAGCATAATGCTCTCCCAAGTCCATCCATGTTGTTGTAAATGGCAAAATTTGACTTAAATCATTACAGTATTTTTTGGATCTGTCTGCTAAAGCAAAGGAAACAAAGGCAAAAAATAAACTAATGGGACCTAATTAAACTTAAAAGCTTTTGCACAGCAGAGGAAAACATTGACAAAATTAAAACACAACCTACTGAATGAGAGAAAATATTTGTAAATGATATGACTGCTAAAGGGTTAATATCCAAAACACATAAACATCGTCTACACATCACATCAAAAAAACAACCCAGTTAAAAATGAGTGGAAAACATGGGTAGACATTTTTCCAAGGAGGACATGCAGATGGCCAGCTGACACATGAAAAGGTGCTCAACATTGTTAATTATCAGGGAGATGCAAATCAAAACCACAATGAGCTCTTACTTCACACCTGTCAGAATGTTGATGATCAAGAACACAACAAATATTTTCAAGGATGTGGAGAAAAGGGTACCCTTGTACATTGTTGGTGAGAATGTAAATTGATACAGTCATTGGAAAACAGTATGGAGCTTTCTCAGAAAAGTAAAAGCAAAACTATCTTATGTTCCAGCAGCCCCACTCCTGGGAATGTACCTGGAAAAGATGAAAACTCTTAATTCAAAGAGATTCATGTATCCCAGTGTTCAGAACAGCATTATTTATAATAGCCAAAGTACGGAAGCAACCTAAATGCACACGAACAAATGAATGGATAAGGAAGATTTGTATGTACACAATGGAATGCTACTCAGCCATGAAAAGAATGAAGGTTTTTTTTTTTTTTAACATTTTGGCTGAAACAGTTCTGAATCAGGTGAATGCAGATCCTTCTGCTGGTCTTAGATTTCATTGGTTCCTGAAGTCTGAGTGTTGAGGTCCTATAGGTGGTATGTGGACTCCATTCCCTTGAATCATGTGACACTGTTAGCACCATGCCTGCAGATGAGTGGTGCTTCCTCTTGGAAGTGTCTGACATCCTGTAATTTTTTTCACCACACTGCTTCGTGTGCATGACTTCCCTGGCCAGGAACTGAACCTGCACCCCCTGCAGTGGAAGCACAGAGTCTTGACCACTGGACCGCCAGGAAAGCCCTGGCATCCTGTATTTATGGTAGCCTTCAGTGACTTATCATCAGCATTGGGTTTTCCATCGGTTCTGATGAGCATTCTTCAGGGCTGTGGAAAAGGAATAGGAAGTCAGAATCTTCCCCAAATCAAGCAAGCAAAGACATTGAAAAGAACTCTGATTTTGTTTTAATGTTCTTTTTTTGTTGTCTAGTCACTAAGTCATGTCAGACTCTTTTGTGACCTCATGGACTGTCCATGGGATTTTCCAGGCTAGAATACTGCAGTGGGTTGCCATTTCCTTCTCCAGGGGATCTTCCTGACCCAAGAACTGAAGCACAGCTTGTGCTGTGTCTCCTGCACTGCAGGCAAGTTCTTCACTGCTGAGCCACCGGGGAAGCCCCTAGTATTCTT